CTGTTGTTTGCTTATTTTCCCAGTCTATTTCTTGACTTTTAACTCTTTGTTAAAGTGGGGTCTGCTTCCAGGGTGTTTTGTGCAGCTGTTTTCAGAGATACCTCTAGATACCTGTAAGTTTTCAGTTCTTCCAAGGTGGTATGATCTAAGGAGACATTTTTACTACTCTTCTGGCCTGTGCTCTGGTCTGTGAGTGACCACAAGCACTCTTTTCTGCCCTGGAACTGTGAGGGGGGTCCCCGCTCCACTGTGGCTACAAACTCTACTGTGCTAGTGCTCCTCATCACCCCAGGACTACCACCCAGGACTGAGACCCAGATCTCAGTATGGGCAAAGCAACAGAGTCCTGCCTCAGAGCTAGCAAAGAGACCCCTGTAATTTCCTTCTGATGAGTTGTTCAACCCTCTTACTGTCTCCACAGACACAGAAGCAGCCTCTTCTGCTACCGGTTCAGTGGTTCCCAAGGCCTACTCCTGGTTTGCTGGGGCCCAGGCTGTGCTGGCATGGCCTGCATCGGATTGTATACTGACTCTCACCCAGGTGCAACAGGCCTTTTCTGCTGACCTTCTAAGTTATCTTTGGCTGAAAAATTATTTCACCATGTCCTTTTGTGGGTTCTCCCACTTCAGGAATTGTTTTATGGCATTATTTAAAGATGTTTTGGGGAGAACTCAGGCAAGTCACTGCCTTTTCTTCACCATCTTGGCCCTGTGAAAGTGTTTTATGCAAATAAAAAAAAAAACCCAGCAACACAAAAAAAGAAAAGAAGCGGTAGGATCCCTCATAGTCTCCCAGAGTTGATGAAGAGGAGAAGCAAATGAAATCACAAGAGAAAGGGAGTAAATAGTATGGGCTGATTATCACCTAGCTCTCCCTTCATTTACAAAAGCCTAAGAAAGCTTGGGTCAGAGACAATGCTGGCAAAATGCTTGGCAGGCCTAGTTTTTCACTCATTATGATATAATACAGACCTTAAAGACAAGTGTCCCCATGAAGATAGAATTGGTCTCCTGATCCAAGAGCCTCTCAGTATTGGAAACACATTGGGAGAGGTAAGCCTGACCTTCCCAATACTGTTCTCATTCTTTGGATACCCTCCCTTTATGTGGTCCATCATGGATCCCCTCTTCTCTACTTTGGTTTAAAACTGCTAGAGCTTGCTTTCTATACAGGAAGGCTCTTAGACAAGGACACTGGTCTTGTTTCTTATTGGCCCTCATGGAAGGGACCTCAGTCGCCAGTCCACTGAGTTTCACCTGACAGCAAAATGGTGCTTACCTGTGTGATACAGGCTCCCGTGAAGGCCACGATCACAGCAACCACATTGACTGTCAGTTGGAACTGTAGGAACTTAGAGATGCTGTCATAAACATTTCGGCCCCACATCACTGCCTTGACGATGCTGGAGAAGTTGTCATCGGTTAGGATGATGTCTGAAGCCTCCTTGGCCACATCTGTTCCTGCAATCCCCTGGAGAATCACATAGAAGACCCATGGGAAGGACTTTCCCAATAGACCATTTTCATCTCCTAGTTCTTCCCTTCCTTTCTGATCAAGGCAAAGTCATTGCTGGCATAAAATCCACTCTTTTATTTGACTCCTTTACTCACTCGTTCATTCGTTCATTCATTCATTCATTCATTCATTCATTCATGTATTAAGTACCTGCTACAGGCATGGAGCCCATAGACACAACATAGAATTTTACATAAGATATTGACTTCCTTCCCATAAAAGTAATAACAACTAGCAATTATGTAGTACTTTGAGGTTTGCAAAGCACTTTACATATGTTAACTCATTTGATCCTCACAGTAACTCTCAGAGGTAGGGGCTGTTAATGGTAATTTTCCAGATGAGGAAACTGAGGCAGGAGTGGTGAAGTGATTTGTCCAAGGTCACATAGTAAATGTCCAAGGCAAGATTCAAACTCAGGGCCTCCTGACTCCAAGATTCTTTCCCTTGTAGCACCTTTTTGTCCTAAAACATCGAATAATGAAGTCTCAAATATACAGCTGTCTCCTCTGTAAAACAGAAGATTGGACTATATATAACCTCTAAGTTTCTTCCCAGTTCTTTATGCTGGGTGATGTAGTATTGCAAATCTAGCCATAAAATAGTGCTTCGTGGTCTAGTCCTATTTTAAATACTCCAAAGAAACTTATCATTAGAAGGGCTGTCTTTGAAAAGTGGAAAAAAAAATTACTCCCTTTGGCTTCTGCACTTCCTAACTGGCTTCCCTGCTTCCACTGTCTCCGGCCTGACCCACCCTCCATATAAAGTCAAAGGCATTTTTCTAAGGTGTAGATCTGATCGGGTCGTTCCCTTGCTCTAAGCTCTTGGCTGCCCACTGAATAAAGGGTAAAAATCTGCTCCTAGGATTCTCCAGTCTCTGGCTCCCTGCTACCTTTTAGTCCTTTCCCTAGTACCCTACGCTTTTTCTTCCACTACACTGCCCCATTCACACACCACAGGATTCTGGCCAATTTGGCCACCTTCTCATTCTTGACGACCTAGCTGACAAGTGCTTGAAAAGCCCTAGTGAGGGGAAAACCTCCCTGGGCAGCCCACTTCACTCTGGGCCCCCTCTGAATTGCCAGGAAGTCTTTCTGGACAATCAAGCTCAAATTTGTCTCTTTTTAACTTCCTCCCATGGCTCCTGGTTCTGCCCTCTGGGGGCCAAACACAAGTCCAGTCCCTGTTCCATGTGACTGCCCTTCACATGCTTGAAGACAGCTCTCATGAGCCTTTTCTTCTCCAGGCTAAACATTCCTGGTTCTTCAGATGCTCTTCAAAGGGTGCAATCTGGAGGCCCTTTCCCCATCCTGCTTGACTTCCTCTGAATGTTCTCTAGCTCATCCATGTCTTTGCTAAAACATGACAGCTAATTCATAAGCCCTTTTGCTATGAGATAGTCCCTGCCCTTGAGGACCTTACATTTTATTGGAAAGATACTGCATGTTCACATATCAATAAAAACAGGATATTTATTTCTGGGCATCTAGGTGGCACTGCAGTGGATAGAGCACTGGGGTGGGAATCAGGAAGACTCATCTTCCTGAGTTCAGATTTGGCCTCAGACACTTCCTAGCTTTGTGACTCTGGGCAAGTCATTTCACCCTGTTTGCCTCAGTTTCTTCATCTGTAAAATGAGTTGGAGAAGGAAATGGCAAACCACTCCAGTATCTCTGCCAAGAAAACCCCAAATGGTGTCACAAAGAGTTATACACAACTGAAATGACTGAACAATGTTGCCGATGACTATTTCTGTAAGAAGCAAGCAGAAAAGTCAGGAGAGATGGAAGTCTTCATTCATCTAGACTTGACCAATTTGGAATGAATTTGGGATACTGAGTTGCTTTCCTTTTGCATGGTCTCTAGGAAACAGAGCAAAAATAAAGGCAACATGTAGCTGCTTGAGGGAGAGTGCCAGCTCCAGCTTTGGCAGCAGGGCTTCATGTGCCAATGTCCAATGATTCTTATCTACAGCTCCTTGGCTTTTGTCTTTTAGTCAGAGTTGGATGCTATAAAGTTACCATGCTTGGCCACTTTAAATATGGGCCTTCCCCAAGTCTGACCAACCTTCCCCCAACCAGGAAGAAGTGTGTGAGCTTTGGCTGTGCACAATATGGTGTGCGCGTGCATGTGTGTGTGCGCGTGCGTGCGCGTGCGTGTCTCTCTGTGTGTTTGTATGTATGTGTATTTGTATCTATGTGTCTCTGTGTGTGTCTGTGCATGTGTCTCTTTGTGTATGTGTGTGTGCTCTGTGCATGCGTGTGTATGTGTGTCTCTTTGTATGTGGGCATGTATGTTTCTGTGTGTCTGTGCATGTGTGTCTCTGGGTGTGTTCTGTGCGTGTCTGCGCATGTGTGTATGTGTTTGTGCATCTCTGTGTGTGTATTTGTATGTATGTATGCCTCTGTGTGTATGTGTGTGTGCTTGTTAGCATGTATCTGTACTTATGTGCTTGTGCATGTGTCTCTGTGTGTCTGCATGTATGTGTGCCTCTGTGTATATGTGTGTGCTTGTGAGCGTGTCTGTGCATATGTGTGTACATGCGTGTCTCCGTGTATCTGTGCACGTGTGTCTCTCTGTGTGTTTGTATGTATGTGTCTCTCTGTGTGTATGTGTGTGCACTCGTGAGTGTGTCTGTGTACATATGTGTATGTGTGTGTGTGTATAATCAGTGTAGCTGGAGCTTGTCAAGATGGGGCTTCTGGGGTCTCACCTTCCCAAAAGATACCTCTATGGGGCTGGAGGGGCCATGAGCATGGGGGCAGGGAGGGAGCCTGGGGAGCTAAGTTTACCATGGCAAAGCCCACATCTGCTTTCTTCAGGGCAGGCCCATCATTGGTTCCGTCTCCAGTCACAGCCACCACCTGCCGCTGTTCCCCAATGGTACTGTCGATGATCCCTGAAACACACAAGAGAAGGCCCTGAAGTGAAGCAAAGGCACCTGTCACTTTTGAGGCACTGCTCTTCCAACTTTCCTCATGTTTCAATCAACCACTGGAGAATTACAGGGTGTGGCAGAGAAAGCCCTGGATGAGGATTTAGGAGATTCCAGGGGTAGGCTCTAGTCTTGCCTCTGCTGCTTACTAGCTCTCCTCCTATGTTGGGCCAGTCATTTCTTGTCTCTGGGCCTCAGTTTCTTTATCTATGAGAAGGCGGCCTATGGGCACCAGGGACCTTCAGCAACTAGACAAGCCTCTTCTAGCCAAAATAAATGAAAGAGTTATCATTCGCTTTTGCACAATATTCAGCCTGTAAGCTGGCTCATCTCCTAAGTGGCACCCCACTTAGGAGTATACACCGAGAGCTGGAAGGGACCTCAGAGGTGAGCTAGTCCAGTTTGACTGGGGGAGGAAACTGAGGCCCAGGGAAGGGAAGAGACTTTGCCAGGATGACACAGGCAGTAAGGGGCAGAGGCTGGATATAGCACTGCACTGCCACCCTTAAGCCTCTCCTCCTTTGTCATTAACCCCTACCTGGCTATCTTCCTATCTCTGCTTCCTTTTTCTTCCTGCCTCCACTCTTTCCAGTCCCAGGCCTCATGCCCTCAAGCCTAGGCTCTTCTTACTTTCCCAGGCAACAATTAACAAATCTGATGAACTCATTATGCTAATGTGCTACAAAAACTCCTAAGGCTCCTCTTTCCAGTTCTGCGGTCACATGTATGCATTATATTAGAATAAGAGCCTGCCAGGTAAGGACAACACATCATGGCCCTTTGGGCCTTCTGTTGTATATTTCACTTGTACATTTCAGTTCTACAGTGACCTTCAGGGTAGGGGTGGGTGCTTCCTAGACTACAGATTCTGAATCTTTGTGTCATGGTAAAATCTCAGAATCATGGTTTAAAATGCATAAGATCAAATGCCATAGGATTATTAGGAAACCCATTATATTGAAATGCAGCTATCAAAATACATATTTTTTAAAAACCAAGTTCACAGAAGTCAAGTGAAGAATCCCTGCCCTATCTCCTTGTAGACCCCAAGTTCATTATCATTTAAGACCTTTAATTTAAATTAAATTTAAATTAAATGATTAAAATATCCATCCTCTTGAAGCAATCCAGAGATGAACCTCTCTGAACTTAGCTGGGCTGGTTCTTGGGGACAGACGTGTAGCCTCTTACTAGGAGAATCAGGAGAGGCCTCTTGCAGGCAGCTAGATGGCTCAGTGGATAGAGTGCAGGCCTTGCAATCAGGAAAACCCACCTATGATCCTTTCTAGCTGTGTGATCCTGACCAAGTCACATAACCATTCTGTGTTTCAGTTTCCTCATTTGAAGAACGGGGATAATAGTAGCACCTACTTCCCAAGGTTGTTGTGAGGATCAAATGAAATAATATATGTAAACTACGTTGCAAACCTTGAAAAAAAATACATACATACACATATATGCACACACACGCATACATAACACACATATATACACATACATGCATACACAACACACACATATACACACATAATACATACATGCATATATATATAAATAAAATTATTTGCTATGGAAATGGCCCAAAGCCAATGTTATGGAGATGACCCAGCCCAATATGGCAGCTAGAGATGAGCCAGGTTTTAAGAGTGAGACATCAGGGACCAGGAGGGTCAAGAGAGATTGGACAGGTGGCCAAAAACAGCAGCTTTTGATACTCTCACCTGCTGGTGTGAAGGGGTAGTGACTGAGCTCTCTTGGCTCCCTCTGTCTTCTCTTGTTTTCGGTTACAATCAACCCCAAGGTGGGGATCACAAACATGCAGTCCTCCCCTCAACTCATGGGGTGCCAATTCTTCCAAACTGTCTCTTTCTCAGTCCCAAAGGAAAAGCAGGGAAGCCCACATGGGAGGAAGTTTGGAGATCTTTTTGGAGGCACTAAAAACTTTTGTCTGGAATTTTCGTAATGTAAACCAAACCAAACCAAAACAAAGCCCCCAGCTACCCCTAGTCAGCTAATTGCCTGTGTCCTGTGTATGGGGGTGGGTGTTGCTCATGCCCAGAGGGAAAAGTCCAGAAGTGGGGGAGGGAGGTCTGAGCTGTATGCAGACCATAGCTTTCATATTTTAATACTCTTGACTGATATTCCATCATCTTTTAGTCTGTCAAATACACAGCCAGGTCATCATGGTTATTTTTTTGTTTGACCAACCATTCAGATCCTCTCAGCTTTTTGCCCATGCGTGCTAGAGACTCTGGGAAGACTGCTTGATTTGAAGTTTGAGCATATTGCCACCCAGTGGACAAGCTCAGCATTACACCCTCTTGTGGGATAATAAAATGACACTAATGGAATCCTCCTCTCCACCAGGGATCCGTAGATAAATTTCAGGGCACCCAGGGAATTTGAATGGGGAAAATGGCACCTTTTTCGTTGACCTATAACTGACGTTGAGCATTTCCTTCAATTATGAATATAGGCAACAAACCTTACTCTGAGCAATGCCACAAAAAGAATCGTATGAACTGATGAGGGTGGCTCTTTAGATTTAAGGCTCATAAAATGTCAGAGCTGGAAAGTATTGCATCGAAGACCTCAGATGGGAAAACTGAGGCTTAGAGAAAGGAAATTATTTGTCCAAGGTCACAAAGGTAGTTAGTGGCAGAGCTGAGATTCAAAGGTGGGTGCTCTGACTCTGGGTCCTCTTTCCACACTGTATACCAGTGAGAGGTTGGCTATAGCCGTTTTTGCTAAGTGTCCTGTCTCGTCCTCATCTTTTCCTCTCCCATAACCCTCTGCTCTTTGGTATGTATCAAACTAGCCTCCCCAAAGCTAAAAGACATTGCCCTGCTGGAGATTTCCCAATGTGGAAGCTAGGGAAGAAAGGACTTTGCAGGGGAGGAGGGTGAATGGACTGTAGCGTTCTCAAGCCAGGTCCCTCATTGGCTCAGCTTCTCCTAGATGCAATCCAGAGCAGAGGATGATGGGACAGAGTTATTTATTTATTGCTTTTTGGTGAGGCAATTGGGGTTAAGTGACTTGCCCAGGGTCACACAGCTAGTAAGTATCAAGTGTCTGAGGCTGGATTTGAGATGGGAGAGATTTAAAAAAAAACCCAAAAAAACCAAGCCTCAGAAAGTTGATGAGGACACACCACAGCAGGTGGGGGAAGGCGAAAGGACAGAGAAGATCAGTACAGTGGAGGAGGTGGCTGCAGAGAACCAGTTGGGGGGTGGGGTTTGGGTCTTACCTTTCACCAGGGTGTGTTTGTCAGTGGGAGAAGACCGAGCTAGGACCCTCAGCTTGGGCCAGACTTTATCTAGGCGATCCTGTTCGATCTGGGGAGTACAAAGACCAGTCAAAGCGGGGACAAGGAAAAAGAGCAAACACTGGCTAAAGAGAGACAAGGCCAAAAAGGACCATCTGTCAGCTCTCTCCAGGGCCTTGGGGGAAGGTCATGCGGCTATGTGCAGAATGTTCCCTGACCCTCTCGCTCCCCACCCATAGCTGTCTGGAGGAGATCACTGAAACCCACTCATCTTCATTCAAGCCCCCAGCCTTGCTCAGTCCCCACACCTCTTGGCTTTCAAATAACCCCTATGTGAGGGGAGGAAAGTTTGCCAGGCATATGTACATGGGCTAGGGCACAGGGACTGTGATTTCATTGGTACAGAGTTCCTTTCCAGGTGAGGGAACTCCATCCTCAGAAAGGTTGACACCATCCCTGAGTCTGAGAGAGCTGCTCAGTGCATTGAGAAGTCAAATGACTTCCCCAAACTCCCACAGCTCTGTGGGTCAGAGGTCGGACTGGAGGCTAGGTCCTCTGACTCTGAAGGCATCTCTCTGTCTGCTATGTCATGCTGCTTCTCATTCAAATGCACGGAAGAGAGAAAATCAAATCATTTCAATAGGCTAATGTGGTTATTTATCCAAAATTACCTAGGCCCCTTTGATGAGCCCATTCTACCCCCTTGGGGAGTATGCAAGGTTAGGGACCTCTGATTTAACCTTCAGCAACAATAAATTTGATAGCAATACCAAGAAGCCTTCACTTCTGGTACATTTACAAAAAGCATGTTAAAGAACAAAGTCCATAAGAAGGTGGCCACATTTTTAAATTTGTTATTCAACATTAACTTTTTTTTTTGGCAAGGCAATTGGGGTTAAGTGACTTACCCAGGGTCACACAGTTAGTAAGTGTCAAGTGTCTGAGGCCAGATTTGAACTCAGGTCCTCCTAACTCCAGGGCCAGTGCTCTATCCACTGCACCACCTAGTTGCCCCTTCAATACTAACTTTTAAATTAATCTTAGCATTGATGGGCAGAATAGCCTAACGGTCAGAGACCAGGCAGCCCTGGGTACAAGCACTTCCTCTGACACAAACTGGCTGTGTGACCTTGGACAAGTCACTTAACCTCTGTGAATATGTAGAAGAATTCCCTATGTCAGTGAAATAACAGTTCCCATCTTCATTCTTATTAACTTATAGTTCATAAATGTAATAAAGGTTGCTCTTTTCAATTATTTTTTTTAACTTATCAAAAGTTGGATGTTATACATGTATGTCATTTAACAGCACTGAA